AAAAAAGATCTCCGCAAATTCTTACTTGATGTATTAGTAAAGGAGGATAAGTATATTGAAATCCCCATGATTATCAAAAAAGTAGGATCATAGAAACGCGTGCTGAGGGTCCCATTTTACGTCTGTTTTCCTTTTACAACTCCTTGTCTTTACACATTGTTCGTCCGTAAGTGCTGTGTTAATTTGATCTCCCAACTTCTGTGTTTTATTTATCTCTAGCTGCAATCTGCAAGGTTGCATAGGTTTGCCTTATTGTTATTCTTCCATAACTTGTTATTTTAATCACGTTCTTGTTTTGCCTCGCCGCGACTAGCTTCTTAGCTATTTGCGGGGCAAACCATTTTAATCATGTATTTTTGTAATAAGAGTTTTCAATTACGTAAGTCTGCAATCAGAATAAGAATAAAGTTTTGTTGTTGTTGTTTTTTTTTTTGCCAGCTCCTCGCTTAAAACTTAAATTTAAATCTTACACTAGCAGTCAAACTTGTCCTCGAATCTAAGTTCTTCATCATATTGACACATCAAGACACTCTCCAGCTCAAAAATGTCTTGATAAATTGTATTCTCACGATACCTTTCTTTGATATTTCGTAGTGGAAAATGCCAGGGGACGAAAGTCTTGAAATAATTGGCTCACGTTACATCTCCCAGTACATGGGTAGGTTGCGGTTGACGACACTTTATAAAAAGCATATTACCATGGACATTGGAGTGAGCGTTCTTTTCTTTTTTTAACAGATTATTCAGCCGAGAAAGCAGAAATCAGTGCAAGACTTTTATGCATTTGTAAAGATCACCCGACTTTATCATTTGCATATGATGAGGTGAAGACTATAGTTTCCTTAATGTTTTTTCAAGAAGACAGCAGGGTTGCTGTCCAATCAACAGCAACATACTCTTTTAACTGAAGGCCGCGACGCTAAAACGAAAGTAATATTGCGAGCCAGTCAGAAGAAAGAAAGACAAAACAAGGAGCCAATTGGAACAAACCAAAGTAAGCCAACGGCTTCAAGGGCTGGAAAAAGCAGTGACCAAGCTGCGGTTGGTTTTACTTTTTCAACTTAATGATTGGGTAGCTAGAGTTTCTCTCGAACAATCACAGGTCACCAAAAGCAAAGTAGTCCTAGTTTACTTTCGACTCCCACTCCGAAAATTGATCTGTTATTCTGAATTTTAAATTGCCTTTTAATTTCTTACCTTTTTTTTATATTCAGTTCATGACTCGTGAACAGTATGATTTGCGGGACGACTTCCATTCTCGAGGTATGTCAACATTTGATTCGCTTTTTTTTCACAACTTGCCACTATTAACTAAACCAATAAAGCATGTTTCTATCGCGCATGGTAGAACCAAAGCTGACATTTATCGCAACAACTAATCAGAACAAAGGTGACATTAAAGCGAGCCAATGGGAACGCAGAGTAAAAATCGGCTGAAGCGCGAGAAAACGCGGGCAACAAAGTCGCAATTGGTGTTCAAGTTAATTCTTTTATCTGATCAGCTGCGAGGCTGGCATAGCGCAATTTTTCTCGACCAACCATATCGTGTAGTGAGGTAAAACCATTGCAGTCCAAGTTTACTTTGACACTCAATTAAGACTTCCTCTATAGGGTGACACTGATTCATTGAACTAAAAGTACAGTTTACTGTAAACGAGCCTTATTTCCAAGCAAGTGTTAGGTGAATTGTTAGACTGCTGGATTGCTTCATTGATTACCATGTTTTCTTTCATATAGTTGAAGATCTTCCTCACTCCGAAGTTTCGGACATCCTCCCGTCGTGTCCTTACCAACCGTCTTATGTAATCTCGAAAAAACTCTATGAAAATGAGGCCTTCGTTGGAAACTTTGTAAGTAACTACTTATTCGCCACGCCGACTAGAACTGAAACTCTGCCAATAACTGGTGATGGAGTATGATCGTTTATCTTATGACAAGAAATACTTCCAATGCGGATTTCGACGTTACAGCTGCATTCTACTCTAATGTTTCTTAAGTGAGGAGGTCGACGGGTCGACTTGGTTGGTTTTCCAACAGCTGTTATTAGTGCATTTTGGTATCAGTTTTCCCTCAACGGTCCGTTACTTCACGGTTGCCCTGTTTATTGATTAAATGCGTCTGATCTTCTGAGATTTCTAACTTGGAATTATTTCTCTATGATCATCTGTATGAACTTATTAGAGAATTTGCCTGTTTAAGCTTCGAGAAAGTTTGATGTCCAAGTTAATCGTCTAGTTGGCGTGTTGATTGTTCCTTTCCAAAAATTTGTGACGTTTTCTTATTATACTGATATTTAATTCTACAAGAAGGTAATGGGACGAGACAAAAGAACTGTATCAAAATTATTCCTCATTTTGCAGATCCAGCGTCCTCGAGTCTTTCCAAACGATCGAACGGATATCAACATGTCACATGACATTAACAACCATATCAGCTGGGGAAACAAAAAGCTTGGAAAAAATGTAAGACATCGCCATTTGTAAGAGTTCCATGTTTAATATCATGGCTATGAGTTTGGCTAGCAATCTGACGATGGTGTACCGAAAGTCACTGCAGTTCTCTCTCTTTCGGCACAAGTTTAAAACACAAGAGGTGTCTTGTTTAATTTCAGGACGCTTTGCAGATTGTATCTACATACATGGAAGCTCTCGCTAAAAAGAAAGGGTGAGCATGGAGTGGTTAGGTCGTTTTCCTTTCCTACAGTTACTGGTTTAAACCCCGAGAACAACATTTGACAACTTCTCTCGCCAAGGCGATTAGGCGAATCCATCAGACATCTTTCATGTGTCTGTCTGTGTGAATGTTGAAGTAATTTTACTGCATGATGCATCTTTTCAAAAGAAAAGGTAAGACCGGACTCTTACCTTACTCAATATTTGACTTTCATATTCCGTTTGAGAGTAAATCACACTGTTGACGAAAACTCCTTTTTCCCAAAAAGGTTGACTCATTTGTCGAGTTCGTCTTCTAGGGACAGATTCGTTCTTAAGGAGATCGTCAACGTGGAAGCAAAAGATGATCCTAAAAAGGGAACCCGTTATTTGCTGGAAATGGTAAGCTGTTATTACGTCTAGAGTCACAGTCAACTCAACATATTTATGACCGCTTTTAAGTCTTTAAACTCTAGTTTATCATCATAACAAGTTCAAGAATAATTTTTCTAAGCCCTGAAAGTGGAGTTCTCTTGATTTCGCCTGTTTTTACCAGTTTTTTTTTCTTTAATCAGAATGTTCAAATATTTATTCATGTTTTACGAAATTTAACGTATGAGTTTTTTTTTTTTTTTCATCTTCTTTTTGCAGGAACTCCTGGACAAAACCAAAGGTGATTTTATTTCTTTTAGTTTTCTGCATCATAAAATTATGATAATTATGACATTGATTGTTCGCCAAGGTAACAAATAATTACTCTATTCGCTCCGACGAAGGGCTAACGCTCGAGACGTCAGCTTTTATAATCGTAACGGTGGCCAATTTACCATTTCAACTTTGTTGATATATTGAAATTATAACAAATAATTAGATAACGACAAACCACTCTATACCTGGCTGGTAATGAAAAAATTTGTATTGCAATGCAAAAGCAAGTATGGTAAAATTAACTCGTTATTTATTCATCAATTTATTTTTTCAGAACGTTCTGTTCGTTTATCAGAATATGTTTACAGACCCGTAAAAAACGACACTGTTCTTTGTGACCCAGAAGGCTTCCAGTGGAAACGAAATGTCACAGTTTTTATGGTGATAACAGGTAACGCAACACTAAAAGTTCTTGCAACATGCGATTCTAGTGAAGAATTCTTTGTTTTGTTAATGTGCGCTCTGCGTACCTACTCTTTGCAACAAATGTCTGAAGTAAGTGTTCTTGATTAGATTAAGAAATCTTTGTGAATTTTTGACTTCTTTCTTCTTTACAGTTAAGAACTATGGACCATGGATCAGATTCCTAGTAAATCAATTGGCTCAGGTAAGAAAACCTGTTTTATGGACGATGCATGGTTTTTCTAAAGTAAAATGTCAGGTCTCATCCACTCTTTGTCAGTTCGATCTTTAAGTTTTCCTGTAGAGATGGAGGTACAAAACACTGTAACCGAACGTCTTACGAATGGTCAAAACTTCAAAAAACAAAACAAAACATAAAACAAAACAACAACAACAACAGCAACAAAACAGTTAGAACCCAAGACCATTACCTCAAATTTACTTTGCACTTTGATATATTTTTTCTCGCCACATGATAATCGTTCATTGATGCGTATATCTTTCCTCAGATTTACGAGAAAGGATACGACAGTAACTTCTTCCTTGTCATCGTGGATTTCAACAGTAGTGATATTGATCTTTTTCAACTCAGAGAAAATAGTGGAATTAAAGACCGGTAAGGGTGTGGTACTTACCCGAACCAAAAACTGCTGATCCGCGGATCCAGGAAGATGTTCCGGGGATGTGGGCTCCGCTCTATCAGACCTGAGGATACAATTGATCATTTATCTGAAACCATAATACGTCCAACGACAGAGTTGCATATTACCACTCAACTTGCGTTACACGTATTTGCAATTTACTCATGGTGAAATGTTGAAATATTTCTTGGCTCATCTAGTGTAAAAAAAGTTATGATTTCATTTCCGATTCAAAACTTTTGAAACCCTCAATTCATACTTCTTGGATCCGACCTTGCCACATGAAGTAAGAAGCAACAAGACATTTAAACGGTCCTCTCTAATATGGCGCTTTCAGCTGGATATTTTTATTTCCTAGGATTGCCATTCTACGACATTTCACTGAATTTCACAAGACGAGGGCTTTAAACGACGGAGTGCGTTACATCAAGGTAATGTATACCTTGCTTGATGTCATTGGTTGAGTTAAAGATTCACGGGTAAACAAGTCAAGGTGGGGGTAAACGCGTCGACATGGGGGCAAACTGGTAAGAGGCGAGCTGGTAAGGAGCGAACTGGTAAGGGGCGAACTGGTAAGGGGCGAACTGGTAAGGGGCGAACTGGTAAGGGGCGAACTGGTAAGGGGCGAATTGGTAAGGGGCGAACTACTAGGGGGTGATCTGGTAGGGGGCGAACTTACAATGAGACAGATAGCCATGATAAATTTTAATAGAGTGAGCTTCGAGAGTTAAAACTGTGATCAATTAGGCGCCACTCTTAACTCTTAGCTTAAATTCTTATTTTTGTTTTCTTTTGCATTATAACAGGATCCAAACAGTATCATCTTTACAGCAGATCTGCACATAAAGTTCCCAGTTAATATATTTGACGTCGTACGAAAGGTAACATTCCACATGATACCAACTGTTAAAGCTGCTCGCTATTCTCTAAGGTAATGTAAGGGAGATACCAGTTCCAACATCTAATAAATTCATCCGGGCTCGTCTATGTATACGTTTCTCTGACTTATTCGGTTTTTTCTCACACAGCACGCGATTCAAGGCAAAAGTTTTTACTCACCAGCAGTTCTAAAGCTGAAATGTGGTTACTCTATTACACATCAACAAGGTACATACACGTGTTTTCACCCTTCCAACTTCCTCACTTGGTAAATTGTTTTAAGCGTCCGTCACCGTGTAATGGTCTCTTGGAGGTCTTTGCAGTCTTCTTTTTTGTTGATGCAGTTACCGTTCTCGTGTTTCCTACGCTTGCCGCCATCAATAAGGTTTCTTTTCTAGCAACTTACCGGTGGTTGATCTTTTTCTTACAGGTTTTCCACTGGTTAATATTTTTTAGCGCGCTTACTACTAGCAAGTTTTCTTCCCGCGCTTTTCACTGATTCAACGTCTTCCCGTGTTTGGGGCTTCTTATTTTTTTCCCCGCTTGCCGAGTAGCTTTTCCTGCGCCTGTTATTGGCAGATTATTTCTACCAGCGTTTACCATTGATTTTTTAGCACTTACCACTTGTCTACTTTTTACCAGGGTTTGCCACTGGTTAATATTTTTAGCACACTTATTACTTGTTTACCTCTTTTCACCCCCACTTTTCACTGGATAATTACTTTTCGTGTTTGCGGCTTGTGACAGTTAACTTCTCTTGCGTCTTCTGTGCGCGTTTTCCTTGCTTGACTGATGTAGTAAAAAAGAAGTGCATTTTCCCCCAAGTCATGAATTTATGTTCAGTGTAAAATCCAATATTCCACATCATTTTTTACCTCAGCTTACTGGGAAATGATGGGCTATGGTTTGTTCGGAGCGTACAAGTCGGACTGGGACAGTTTTGAAGGACTAGACGAAGTCAAATTCACTACACGATGGGGCGGTGAAGACTGGGATTTAATGGACAGGTAAACGTAGTCTCGTTTCTAGGCCTCCCTAAATGTACACCTGTCAACTCTCTCTCTAATCTCAAACCAACTCACTTACAAGAATCAATCCATCACAGCTTTAACTGACACATTTTTGAAAAAATTTCAGGGATAAAAGAGACCGGATTGAGTAGGAGAGAAAAAAGAGCGCATGATTGATCGTATACATAGCCGAGGCTTTCGGTTGTGGAGGATAAACCACTGCCGTGATATGATTGAGACGACTCTTCAGAATACTTTCGAATTATATTCGGAACGTCTTCGGAAATATTCGGAAATTTTCGAAGCTCTTTGGAAATGATTGAGTTCTCGACGAAAATGCTGACACTGAGGAAAACAATCTAAAGCCCTTGACTCGAAAAAATGACTATGCATTTAAATGGTCTTGTACCTCGGTTTTCTATTCTACTTTGTTAACTAAATCTCATTTTACTTTTTAGAGCTATTGGTGCTAATTTAGAGGCTGAAAGGTTTAGACTTCCCAAGCTGTATCATTACCACCACGAAAGGAAAAGTGACTGGTATGAATTTGCGCGAATGTAATCGATAGAAGAAGCTGTAATTTGACAGAAAGGAGGGATAAAAGAACTAAAGGATCTGTTAATTATGACAGCCGTTCGTCGACGTTCCTTGACCCAACTTCTTATCAGCTTATTGACGATGGAGTAGAGTTACTGTGTAATTGCAGTAAATCTTATTCAAGTTCGGGCATGCTGTGATATTTTCACCATAATCGTAGCACTGACTAATATGAAGGTTATTTCGTGGGCTGTGAATCGGATCCTGCTCGAGATGTAGAAGGCAGAAAAGCAAGTTTACAGGTCTCGGAACAAATTTAAAGCTTAAACCAAAACTGCTCGTTTACATGAACTTAACAATAATGATATTCATGCTTTTTAAAAAATAAATTTTGTATAACAAATAAACTATGAAACTGGAGACGTTGTCTTGGTAGCAGAATGTACTATGAACAACTTTCAATTATGCGCAGTTGTCCCAACTATCTGACAAGGGCCAGCAAAATCACCCAATCAACCATTGACTGATTTCTTTCTTTAAGAAACTGCAATATATTGTTCTAGAAAGATGTAACCAAGGTTTACATGCTTCCAATTATACCCGATAGACTTACTCTCGAGTTGCTCAGGAAAACCCGCAACTTCGTGTGAATCGCCTTTTCCAAGCGTGACTACTCGCGCAAGATGCCACAAACTCTATATTCTTTGCCGTTCACAGGCTTACCGCGCGTTTCCTTCAATATTTTCGTTTCTCATTATCATTCATTTCGTAGAAGTGGGTCGGTAACGAAGGAAAGTATCTGGAAAATGGTTGTCGACGAACTCGCCCAGTTCCCTAATTAACATTTCCACCTACAATTGATCTTAAGGTAGAAATAAATGAGCTGAAAACGGAAAGGTCACTGTAATTCAAGGTGCGATGAAACCAGTCAAATTAAAGACATTATAGTTAACATTACATGACATGGTAATTAAAAATTCAACATGGCGGATGAAGTGAAGCAAGCAAACATTTCACCGTTTTCAGAACTGAAGATAACATCTCATGAGGTCTTAAGGTATATTACTAACATTCCATAATGAAATTAACGTTTAAATTACTTATAGTGACGCTTCATTCGTACAATGCATTGTTAGGCCAACTTTAAGACCTTTTTAAGGCTTTTGAAATCTTTGAAAACGCAAATCAACACTGTGGAACAAACGGTTCAGTCCTAAAGGAATCCTCTTATTTTCTCAGTACTCTCTGTTAACGATACATGTAATTGTATTTATTCTTCCAGAGGCGTTGAAAGAAGACCTTGCCCCAAGTGTCAAGCCTCGAGAAAGTATTACTGTTACACATGCTATGTGATAGTTGGACTTGATAGAAGTCTGATTCCAACGGTTCACCTTCCTGTAAAAGTTGACATGTGAGATGTGTTTATTCTCTGTGGGGTGAATGGGGACACAAATAGAAATCTGCCGACCTAAACTGTTTTTTGCCCCGGTGCATCGATCCGATTTTATTTTCGTTTGAATCCTGATCTGCGTTAATTTTTCACTTTCCATAAAATGAATAAGTTGCTTGTGGGTTATAACATTTAGAATTCATCAAAACTTTCCTGCACGATTGAACTTAATGTGTCATGTGATCAAACTTGCCCCAGCTAAAATTGAGGAATATCTGTACATATTCTATACCTGCCAACTTTTTCTGAGATATAGGCATGAGATTTTTATCCTGGGAGTGCTGGGATTTTGAAGACGACACGATCATTTGCCGAAGAATCCCGAAGAAGTCTGAAGTCTTCTGAAGATGTTCGAAGTCTGCTGAAGGCGAATTTATCGAGAAAACGCTTATCCACAAGGACCCACGTTAGTTGATAACATCAGCGCTATAGTTCTAAAATCAGAAAGTTTTGGACTGACATGGTCAATTTTTTTTAAGGTAGTTGTGATGTTGGTGTTCCCAGGAAAGGCCATAAAGCTTTATTCTTGCTGCTCACGAAATATATTCTTTGTAATGTAGTGGTACAGTTGTGTAAAGGAAATGACACATGGTTTTTGTTCCTTGCGTGGGTCTGAGTTAACATATTTTTGGAAACTGTGTCAAGCAAGATGGCAACAACTCACATTTTTCAATCAGGTGTGAGAAATTGGCCTACAGGCGTGAGTAGGCGTGAGATCAAAGTTTTCAACCCACAGGCGTGAGACTCACACCTAAGGCATGAGAGTTGGTAGGTATAATATTCCTCAATTTTCAAAGCTTTTGCCCACCATGATTAAAGCATTCTTTTTCGAGTCTTTTCAATGCAGAAGAAAAACTTTTTTTTTCAAATGTGTAGAAAATGTGATGGACAATAAACTCAATAGCCCCCATTTGGCACTAGAATGTGCATTTGTGGACAATTCTGCAATTCAGTATTCTTTTTTAAAGGTGAATTGTGCCAACTTGCCAGCCTATTTACCCCTCTGTAGATTTTGTCTGTCATTTTCAGTGTATAATTTGGATTATTAAAAAGTAGATCATTGGATAATGCAATTTAAGACTTTTTATTGGCTTAGCCATTATGGTATATGAGCCAATATACCATAATCTACAAATATGGTAAGCGTACGCGTCAGCTTAAAATTAAAAGGGAGCTAAAAATTTAATAAAATTTAATAATTTAATTTAACGTTTTTAATAAAACAATTATTCCACTCACTCTTGTTGGATAGTGAAATGATTATAGCCAGCTCGGCGCTATGCGCCTCGTTGGCTATCTATCATCTCATATCCAACACGCGCTCGTGGAATAATTGTTAATTGTTACACGAACAAGAGTTGACAAAATGTTCTTTTGACAACAGAATAAAACATCAAAAAGAGTTGGTAGGGAAAAGCACAGCCACTCATGCCTGTATATTAGCTCCTGGGAATGTGTCCATCCATAACTACCCAGTAAGTTTTAGCTGTATTTTCAACTACCTGAAAAAAAAATCTGTCAACCATTTTGTCTGGTCATATTTCTTTTATTCCCATATCAAAAAAAAAAAGAGAGAGAGAGAAATTGTTTTTACATGATATCCTGTTCTCTTGTTTTTTTTCTTTTATTAGGAAGTTCCAGATTTTCCAGAGAATGAGAAGGTAATAATCAATTATTATGTATTATAATTATTTAATTATTGTTACCATTACATGACCAATTAAAGATAGAGACTTCTTTTATTAGATTATTAATTGTTATGCTACTGTCTTTATTTCAGGTCATAATTGTTTTTCCAGCAGAGGTGAGTCAATAAAAAAATCTTATCAGGAAAGAATATGTGATTTTCACTTTGATTAATTTTGTTCAGCACTTAAGATGATTTTTATGGCAAAGCTTGTGCTCAAAAGTAAAAGCTGATGGTGATAGTGATGACAGTGATGACATTGATAATGATGATGATAACTGATATTATTATGCAACTCGGGCAGTCAGAGGGCCAATAACTAAAATCAACCAATCAAAATGCTGTATTGCCGGTCAATATTCTCTAAGTATTGGACCGGGCACTATCCGAATGGTCCCGAATAATACCGCTCTTGTATCCCTTTGAACATCAGTCGTACAATAAATCTCTTATTAACGAAGCTTGCTCGGGACTGTACTGGAAGAATATCAGCCCTCAGTATTTTTTGTACAGACCTCGCTGCGCTCAGTCCGTACTGTCAAGACCTCGGGCCGATATTCTACCAGTACGGCCCTTGCGCTTGGTTAATAAGATATATATAATAATGATGATGATAATGATTAACATCATTATTATAATTGTTTAAGTGAGTTTCAGATACATTTCGAGACAGTCGTTGTGTGACAGATATTAAGCATTATTTTTGTTTAATAATTTTGGTTGTTATGTGAGACTTCTAGTTTTTGTAACCTGGAAAGAACACTGAGTTGTCATCGTCACTATGTTGTTTGTTCTTCGCTTGGAGTTGCGAATGTCATTAAAGTTTGCAAAGGTCACTTTGTCCTTGTCTTTTTGTTTTCTGTACAGTCCATTTGTTGATCATCCAAAACACATTCTCATTATCATCATTCCATTTAGCGATAGTGACAACAAAAACATTCTTGAAAACAGTCTGGAAGTAATTTCTGTATCAACTTTCCAGGATGCTGTCACCCTGGAGAAGATTAGATTAAAACTCGACAAACAGACTGCAGACCCTTCAGATGCTGGTGCCTTGCTACATAGAGTTGTGTTCATTGACAGCACATGGCAGCAGAGTCATGCGATCATAACAGTAAGCCTGTTTGCACGAGCTTCCTAATTACAGGATAATGTAGCTATTGCAATCACGCAATTTAAGTTTAAAAACTTTTACAAAATCACTAGTGAACGTGATTTACAAAATGCAACAGTGCTTCCCTATGCATCCTCAATCAAACATTTTGAATAGAAATTAGACTGTTTTATCTCTTGAAATAAGCTTCCCAGTTAGCTCAATGGGTAGAGCGCTGGACTGTTGTGCTGGAGGTCGAGGGTTCGAGCCCTGGCCAGACCAACACTCAAGGTCTTAATATAATTGAGAAGAATATGCTGCCTTTCTATAACATCAAGAAATGGTTAGATATTCTAGTCTTCTCGGATAGGGACGAATAAATAGAGGTCCTGTCTCCTGCAGGGTTAGGGGTAGGAGACATTAATTTCCCATGCATGAGATTACTGTGTGATGGATGTCCTCCCCTGGGGTGAGATGGGTGGGTTGGGGTTGGTTTAGGCAGATGAACCTAGTAGGGACTACGTGTCCTATTGTTCTCTCGCCTGTACACTGTACGAATCTATAAATACAAGCTTCAATTTTGAGAGAATGCAATATTGAAGCCTCATATAGCAATCTATAATCTATTTAAATATGTCATTGATCAAGTAGCCATTAAATTTTTCTTGAATCTAGATATTTTATTAAGTCTTTTTACAAGTATTTTAAATTAGAAAGTTTTCTTTAAGGACAAAAAGTTAAAAGGGCTGAAAAGAGTGAAACTTGAGAGTGCAGTAACACATTTTTGGAGGTATGTAGAGCCTCACAATTAAATTACTTGTTTCGGTATTTGACAGGATGACAGCTAATAGGTAAATAGAGGGCTGGATAAATTTTCAACAGAGGAATGTGATTAAACCTGTAATGTTTGATTTGAGTCCTTAAGATCAGACGGCCCAACACTGCTAGAGTCTATGCTAGTTTCTGTTGCATGAAGAGGCAAGGAATACATTTAACCTATGTTTAAGATTTGATTGTTCATCATAGTATTGCCTCTTTACATTTGTCAGATTTCCCAGACAGTTTTTTTTACCCATCAGTACTTTAGGGTGGAGAGAGGCACTGTCAGATGGAAGCATCTTGTCTGAAAATATCTCAATGATCCGGTTTAATGTTAGTAATTAGCTTCATCAATGTGACACACCTTTAAGAGATATTGTTTTGACTTTTCAGGCCTCAAAGGAAGCCAGATACATGCCTTGCTACCATTGAAGCTATTTATTACTTTTTCAAGGAATATGATCGACATATTTTAAAAAGGTATAATTTAAGAGCACAGCACAGTGTATGCCATCAAGGTCTTAATTTGGGAACTTCCAAATTTTAATGGATTCTTTGTAGACCTTAAGAAAGTTGTTAAGACAACAAATTTAGTCAAAGTGAAGGTTTCTTTCCAGGGCAATTAGAAAAATTAGGTTGCCTCTTTCTTCCCAAATGTTATAAACATGTTTAGATGCCTTTCTCACCCCATACCATGTGATATAAAAAAGTGAGACCAAGAATAAACAAGACCAGAAAAAATCCACACCAGCCATTTAGTGGAAGCTCTTCTTAATTTAATATGCTTTATTATTAATTTGTTCATTTAATATGTTCTGTAAATTTTTTCAATCAGGGAATATGATGGGAGATATGACAATTTATTGTACTTCTTTGCCTTTCAATACAACTTGATACAGGAGCAGAGAAAAAACAGGTGAGGTGAATGATTAAATCTGCTTTCCTAACCCTTTAAATCCCAAGACCTGATTTTCACTGCTCCCCTCCAGCTGCTGCAAATTTCCTTGTCTCTTAGTTATAAGTTGGATATATCAACAAAGTTGAAATGGTAAATTGGCCACCGTAACGATTACAAAAGCTGACGTTTCAAGCGTTAGCCCTTTGTCTTAGTTATAAGAATTTGATGTAAGATCAAGACAGCAACTTCAGCTTGGTAAGTTTGAGTATTCTCATTACCTGTTTGCTGGATAATGTTTGGATATTATAGGGAGAAGTTACATGTTAATCATTTCTGGGAGTTAAAGGGCTAACAAAAACCAAATGGTGAAGTAGTGATTGGCATGGCATGTATCAGAAACTATTTGTTACCAAAAGAAGAAGAAGAAAAACAGATTCAAAGCTTTTATTAAGCAGAATGTTTAAAAGTTTTTTTTTTTTTTTAACACTAAGAATTAAACTTAATTTTTTCTGGGAAATATTGTTTCTCCAAGTACTGTAACAAATATTTCATTCAAAAGATTGATTGGAATTTCCGAAAAAATGCAGTAAATTATAGATGCTGAATAAAATTGTCATTTATCTTAAAGTTCTAATTTCATTTAATGTGTTTATTTCATGGACAATAGAAATGGAAAGAGAATCAGCTCAAGTTATATTTTGCATGTGGGATACTTAAGGCACTGAGCTGCAAAACATAGGCATATGTTGGATCCCCCTTACCATGTAATGTCTTACAAAGATTTTTTTTTTTCTTGCAGTAAAAAGAGAAATATGTCCGAAAAAGAAGATGAGATAAAATAACAATGCTGGAACCAAGAATGATAATTAAAGTAATTAAGCAGGCCATACAGTGAAATATGGCCTGCCAAATTGGCCAATCATAATGTATGTACCAATATGAGATATAATAAAACAAATTATTTCTCAATGAATGCCATGAAAACTTAACCTGTTGTTCTTAGAGAACAGTAACTAACAACAAATCATCCACACATGCTTCTTTTCCTTTTTACTTTATTTTTAAATCCTAGTCCATAATTCTGACATTAGATTTTATTGAAGGCAGCTATGTCAACAGATTGGACAAAATCTTCAAATTTGGTGATCTCTTCTTCCAAGAAGTCTGTTGAGATTTTGTCATCTTCAACGACGCAGTTGATCTGTAACTTCTTGATTCCATAAGCAAGAGGAACAAGTTTTGATGCGCCCCAAAGAAGACCATCAGCTTCGACTGAACGAACTAGCCTCTCCAATTCTTTCATGTCTAGAATACAAATTGTTATTGGGGTAAGATGGAGGAACTGCTGACCTTTTGACTCCTATGAGTGACGAGCATCTAATTTCTCCTTACAATATCACCCCTGAATCACACATTAAAGTCAGGAGAATAAAGGAAATGATCACCAACTAGAAAAAGCTCTTGATTGATAAGCAAATTCTCCCTGTCAGCACCTTAGGAAATGTATAGAGAACAGTATGGAGAATATGCATACTGATGTTAGGGAGTATAGGGTCGAGGTTGTTAACAAGCACCCACTTTACATTACACAGGAAGATTATATACGATCAACAAAGCACCCTTAAATGAAGTCACAACATTTCATCTGGGCAAGCTTTGTATTTTAAAAGAAAATATCAGATTACAGGTAACATGGAATATGAACAGTGATAAGACCTTTTAAGGGGCATACAGTACATGTCAAGGGAGTGTCTGCAAGTACACATATGACCAAGTTGAGATGTGATTTCTCCCATAGTTTGAGCCATTTGGACTTGAATTTTTGGTAGAGTGCTTACACTCTGAATCAAACACTTAATTCTTGGACTACAGTCTACACGTTTGAGTCTGTTCAAGGCCCAATCCTACATTTATTGAAATCAATTGTAACTTTTTATAGTCAAATTAAAAATGCACTTTTTTTTCAGACGCTCATTACTAGTACCTAGGAATGCCAAGAGTTCAGTTCCCATTCACCACAGAAAATATGTTTTCATTTTTATATATTTTCTGTGGTGAACGGGAACCAGACTCTTATCATTCCTAGGTACTAGTAATGAGCCTTGTCCCCCCTCCCCCAAAATTGTTGAAAGACAACACTGAACTGTTGTGTTATCAGTAACCATTAGAACAGCTATCAGTAACTATTAGTCATTCCTGAGGTATCCTATATAGGTGGGCATATTTGGTTATGCAAACACCAAGAACAATATCTTGTATAACTAGGAATTATGAGAAGTATTAAAGGATTCCTGCAACATAAATACCTGTCTCGTCATCCCAGGGTTTTACATCCAGAAGAATACTTGATTTGGCTATAACTTGTTTTTCTAAGCAAAGAAAAAATTGGTTTTAAAGATTAAAAAAAATATGACTGAACTGAATAGTTAACAATAAACAGAGCTTGTACAGGTTGTGGAAAACTTGGAAATTTATGGCTTGAAATTCATACCAGTTTATTTGTTTGTTTCATTTTTAATCTTTGTTTGTGGCTTATTGATCCACACTCCTGCAGGGCTTCTTGTATCAGCTCTCAAATTCTAAGAACATTGTAAATCTAAGTACTCAACTAGGGCAGAAGGATGACTCAAGGAAAAAGGGAAAAAAGTTTTTTTCTACCAAACAAAAACTTTCTGTTCAAAATAAACTTACTTTTAGCTTTCTTTTCATGGTACTTCCTTAACTCTTCTTCTTTACGTTTCTTTGTCTCTTCGTCATCCTCTTCCTGGAATTCAAGTACAAAGCATTCAATTCCGTGATCTCAATATCTCATGATGTTTGTGACGACAAACAAATTTTGTTGTTGTAGTGCAAATGAGCCATCTGAGACAGTTTAACCCTTTGAACAGTTAGGAGTGACTAGCACCTAATTTTTCCTTACATTAACACCTCTGAAGCAAAACATTAAGGTCATCAGAACAAAGGAAATGATCACCAACTAGAGAAGCTCTTGACTGTTAAACAATACTATTGAAGAAGTGTTTTAAAACAATACTATTGAAGAAGTGTTTTAAAATTAAGAAGAGACAGGTTTTCAGGAGGCCCCACTTTTTTCTCCCCTTACTTTCTGAAACACAAATCTCCAGTAAGCCAATACCTCCATTAAAGTGCCTATGACACTATTTTTCCTATTCTACATCAAAATATAATGACTCTTAAACATGTTTTCGCAACATTTGTGGTATTTTGCCCTTTTCTGAATTTTTTATCAAGCTCTATAATCCGCAGATAAAATGTCTGGCCAAGCAAAGAGGGACTGGGCGCCATGACATCACAGTAGGAATCTTGTAGAGAGAAATATTCTTCATTGAGTCAGGGGTATTTGAAAAACCCCAAACTACACATCGAAATGGCATTTTTTGGCTAAAAAAGATTGTAAAAATAACAAAGACGCATCAGAATCGCCCACAAATCTTACCAGACACCCTCTACATACTTCTATTTTTATAATTTAATGCTAAAAAATAGGTGTCATAGGGACTTTAAATGGAAGCTGTCTTGCTTTAGCTGTCCACTAAACACAGGTTGCCATGAATACCTAAGGACTCAACTTCTACATTTAGAATATGTACCTCCTCAGAATCTGAGCCAAAGAGATCAAAGTCGTCATCATCATTCTTTTTAGCGCTACCATTTGTGACTGCTGCAGAACCATAGCTGCCTAGATCTTTTTTGCTGCCAGGAAAAGAGGCCCTCTCAGCACCAAATGAAGCAATGTGATTGTACCAGCGTAAGGCATGTGCAAGATCTGCTGATGGACACGCTGACAGTGCTTGAAACACCACATTATCGCCTTGAGAAGGAACGTTGCTGCGAAGGCAACATTTCACTTTTCAATAAAGTTAACTGTTTAACTCCCAGAATTAAATAATATATAAGAGCCACTGACTATAAATATCGAGAATCTGCCAACAGTTCCAAACTTTTGTAATTCATTTTATTTTTTCTAAAGGACCCTTTTAATAAGCCTTTTTCAGAAACTATATCAAAAAGTTTCATCATGCTTTTTTTCCCTCTGAAATCTTTCAAAATGTTGACCCCCCCCCCTGTAAAGCAATAAAAAGTTATGCAACTTCAGCAACTTTGTACACTACAGTGTGAAGCAATCCCACTTTTAAATTTTGCATGCAAGCAGATGGTCCTTTTATCTCTGGGAAAATATTAATTTCTTATTGTGTAATACAATCAATTGAATGGCTGTTACAAAAATTATGAAATTTTGTGACTGTCGGTGGATTCTTGATATTCATGGTCAGTGGCTCTTAACTTCTTCCTATAATATCCATACATCATCCACCAAACAACTTGAGTAATGAGAGTACTCAAACTTATCAGGTAGAAGTTGTTACCTTGGCTTAACAATTCTTGTAAATATTTTAAGGGGAAACATGTTGTAGCTAGAAGGGAAAAAAAAAAATCATATCTTTGGAGTTAAAGGTTGACTCTTCTTTGTCGGAATTCAGGGTGCCAAAAGTCATGGGAAGAATCACGCTTATTCACCAATTACTATCTTATTGTAAATCATGGCAAGCTTCGTGGCTTTTCAGGTGGGTATGGGAGTCAAATTTTCTATTAGTTAACATAACACAACAAATGTAACAAACTTTATTTAACTCAAATTTTAAGAGTAGCTAGCAAGCTAGTATCTCCGAGCTGAAAAACATAAAGTGCTTGACAATCCCTGTTGGCAGAAGGCAGACCAGTAGGTTATTTGCAGAGTGCAGTGGAGGAGTTGAACTTGGGATAACTGAGAACAAATTCAGTGAGTAGTAGCAGTGGAGGACTTAAACCCGGGACACTGGATTACAAGTCCAGCACCCTAACCACTCAGTCATGCTGCCTCCAAGTTCTTTTATTTTTTAGTTGTGAGCCCTAGGCAAACTGACTTTTTCCACCATTGTTTTGCAGGTCACTCACAGAAAATTCTTTGTCACTTTGCTGACAAATTCTTTGACCATATTAGTCAAAGTTCTGTTCTACTGTATTTATTTGTCTAAAAGCCAAATGATTTTTTCACAGAACTTTACCAAAATATTGAAAACTTGAGCTAGAGAAGGGTTCTCGGCTTATAGCTGAGTGTCTTTCCAAACAAAACTTTTCTGAAACTTTTCTTTTGGTCTTTCTTCCAGTGGTGGACCATAGACTCACTGATGCTGTACTCACTGGCTATCTCCGAATTGTTTTCCATAGCAATACATCCGGCAATACTGTACTGAAACACTTTTCTCTTTCGAAACTTTTGCGTTCATTGTTTGAGAATGGAATTCTCTGAATATGGTCTCAGCTTATAGTCAGGTATTTTCAATTTACATGTTTTGAGAACCTTTCTGATTAAAACAGATTGAAGTTTAGGGTCTCGGCTTAAAGCTGAGTTTGGATTATAGATGAATAAATACGGTAAGCTCAGAGCAAAGTTGTAAGCTCATAGCCTGGCTCCATTAAGCCAATCAGAAGGCTAGAATTTAATTACCATGCTCCAGGTTTTACTTATCTCCACTGACTACTTCACTATCAAACTACAGTTGAACCTCTCCTAAGCTTATGAGAGGTAGTTGCTTACAAGAGGTGGTTGCTTACAATAATTTCTGTTTACAGTGATTTGACTTTTGATATTCTGAAAAAGTGGTAGCTAACAAGAGGTGGTTGCCTATGAGAGGTGGTTACAAAAGAAGGTTTGACTGTATTACTATATTTCATGGTGGAAACCCAGCATTTCCACCTGTAGTCACAGAAAAAACACAAAAATTTGTTTCAAAGGTCCACTTACGTTATTTTTTGCAAAAGATAAAGGATACTTTGTTAAAGTAAAATTTAGCTAAATAATTGGGTAACTGTTCAAAAAAACAGTACAATTTTGTCCATAGCCATTATGTACTTCAAATTCGATTTACGACGTAAAAACTAATTGACAAGAACTCCTTCTGAAAATAACCAAGTATTTGCTAACCAGCAAAACTGCCTAACTACCGATTAGGAAAAATCATCTATAAATTTTACAAGAAAAATGGCTAAAATTTATGTGGACAATGAAAGAAATCTGGATGTATTTGTCACTTCCACTTGGTTATTCACTCGCCAGAAGGATATGAAGCAATCAGTTACTCTTAAACGTCAAATTGACCTTACGAATTTATTAATATTTGTCAAGATACCCCTCATCTAAAAAGATTAAAATGGATTTAAACTCAGCCATGCACGTGGATAGAACATTTCTAACTTACATTTTTGGCATTTTCCGGACAAACAAACGCATATAAATTAAGCTTACTCACCCCTCGATATAGCTTTTATCTTCGAGGTATTTATTCAAGGCTTCTAAGCCTGATCTTGACTTCAGATCACCGAATCCCATGTCCTTTTTCGGTGCCGAGAACAATTTCCTTTCGAACACGTTCGGCCGGCAGTGGAGAGAGGACCAGTAATATCCCATCATGCATCCATATCACACCTAAACTTGTGCCCAGTCTAGCGCAGCTAAAATATCAACGGCATTTGAACTTTTGGAGATAGGTTTGGTAATAGTTCCATGATTACCGTCACGAATATAGACCAAGGTTCTACTCTATCTAAGTGACAAAACGCTTTAACTATAACACAATAGAGAAGAAAGTGCAGTAGGTGTAGTAGGTGTAGTTTGGTGTTATGTGGTGTAGTAGGTGTAGTCTGTTGTAATATGTATGGATGATGTAGTAAGTTCGAATGCCTGGCAAGAGTACCATATAACCCCATACATTAATTATGCATTCAGACTAGTAGACTTTGTTTTTAAGGTTTTGTCGTGAATGAGAACGAAGTGGAATGCATAATTAATGTATGGGGTTCTATGGTACTCTTTCCGAATGCCCTACCCAAGGGCTGAACTTGATGGTCAATTTTCTTTGTAAAAGGCAAAATCAGCGACCGTGACTTTCTACACGTTGTCCAAGCTTTAAAACCTCGACCCTATTAGACAAAAAGTATGGATCCTACTGTTCGTGCGCCTCACTCCTGGAGGAAAGGGGGGACTGTAATCACCAGACAACAAAAATATTCCTTCGCTTCTTTGTTGTTGGTCTACTATTTGAAAAGGAAATTGTAGAGATCTAATCATTTCTTCTCAAGCCGTAAAAATTTGCTCTCTCCAACGAAGAGAAAATAGCCAAGCCTCAGAAAAAAACCACGCGGTTGAAGTTTCATTGGTCAGGGCTGGCCGGCTAGAACAGTCAGTTCGTGGAAAAAATTCCGTCATCAATCAAAATTTCCAAATCGGTCAGTCAGTTCCTATTAAACGAGAGAGCACTGGAAAGACGTGGGAGACTGGGAGGAAGGGGCGTGGGATCGAGGTAACCTGTTCCAACGGATTGAAAAAAACCAGGTTTGGGTCGTGTAGGGTCGCGTAATACTTGAGGATGAATTTCCTAGTTCCTATGAGAGAGAAAATTCTTACACGAGTTAATTTGTGCCTCCTTTGCGTATCAAACTCTGTTTCAAGTTCGTGTTATGGCAAAATAGTTTTATTTATGAGGGGTTTTGAAAGAAAATAAGTGGTAGTAATGCTGGAAGCTTTTAGGGAAATGACTCTTTATACTTTAAATAAACATTTTTTTATTAGTTTTGCTATTTTCTTTCGTGGGTTTCCCGACATTGAAGTCAGAATTACCTAACTTGATAAATGTTAGCTGGTTTAATTCATGTTACTTCACACACAAAACTATCAGATATTTGATTGCGACCCAAACAAACTATATTAAAAAATAAATATATTATTTCCATTTTACGAGCAAAATTATACCTACAGCGAGTCGCAAACATATCTGACAAGGTGTAGCCTGCAGTGCCGGCGTATTTTGGGCGCACGAGTGCACATTTTCGTATTAGGCCACCATCTTAGATTTGGTAACTGTGGAGGATTGGGGCGAGGAAATATTTGCCGAGGGAGTACGTGTTAAGTGGAAAAATGGACAACGGGGGAGAGGGAGGGGAAGGAAAAAATATTCAAGAACCTTCGCGGTGACCGCAGTGCAAGTTTATCAATTCCCAGACTCGGCTTATTTTCTTGTATTTTTTCCTTCCCCTCCCTCTCCCCCGTTGCCCATTTTTCCACTTAACACCTACTCCCTCGACAAAAATTTTCTCGCCCCAATTCTCCACAGTTACCAAATCTAAGATGGCGGCGTAATACGAAAATGTGCACGCGTGCGCCCAAAATACGCCGGCACTGCAGGCTAACAAGGTGTTTCGTGACGCACCTAACGTCACGTCTCAGCTCAGTCACGCAATGGCCAAAAGCTCACAGCCAACATCAAGAGTTACATTTTTTTTGTGTGCGTTAGAAATGACAGAAGAAAGTAATGATACAAAATGAAAACGATAAAAACATACTGTCAGCCGTTAAAATATTGCAAAAAAAGTTAAAAGATTCCAATCACTATGGAACGAGCCATGTGAACAGAAAAGGATTCTTAACTGAAATTTGTCCTTGTGATAGTTTTCCTAACGGGAGATTGCCATCTAATGCGGGAGCTGTTGAAAACGATGCGTCTCCCATGAGGGGACACGCTCCTTCCTCGTGCGTTTTAGCCATCGCACGCGCCTCTCCCGCGGCGCTGCCGGAGCTGTCAATCACTCAGTTCCTGAACAGGTCAACAATGAGAAACGACTAATGCCTACAATACAATACTACATAAAAAGTCGTTCACAGCGGAAACATGTCAAATGGTCAGTTGATCCCAACTTGACCGACGCCATATATTTTGTTCACGAAAAAAAGATAAACGTCGTTTAAAGCCCGTAACAGCCAAGACTCCAGCATCGTGGTTTGGCGGGTTACAATGTTTTTAGTTTCAAAGTCTTTCGACTGAACATTACATGAAGGCCACCCTTGCGATAGTGAACTCAGTCGCGATTTCCCCATTATTGCGCCGAAAGTTTGTCGGGTGATCCAGTACAACACTCTGGCCATGAAACCAAGCTCGGTCTTAACTCTTTGAAACTTGCACCTTCAAGAACCTTCGCGGTGACCACAGTGCAAGTCTATAAATTCCCAGACTTGGCTAGGGTCGGCTGGACTCTTCGCTCAAAAGAGGAATGTACGAAAATATCTCCTTACTCATCACCAGGATCTCACGGACGCGCTCCGCCGTTGCCGGCCTGGGCCCTCTTAATGTAGAGGTTGAGCAGTTTCATCTAGGTAACAACAAACGGATGACAAAAATCATGCTTCTGTCTCGTCGTGTCAGGTGAGTTAATTATTTTGAGTATAAAGGCATGGGGATTTGGAACAACATGAGTTTAAAGACTGTGACGCAAAATAAACACAAAGAGAAGCTGCGCTGAGAATTCTCTGCATTTAGGAAGTACGTATTCTTTTATGAATTTGTATCAGTTTCATCCCCTAATAACCTTGTATGCTTCAAAGACTGATTGATGTCACTGAGTATTCACTAAAAACCTTCAACTTCAAACCAAGAGAAATTCCAATGCTGCCTTCACGGCGATGAGGCTAAAATCAAAGAACAAATGCATAGAAAAATACTTCTAACGAGGTGAAAGTTTCTTAAACTACCTTCGTCCCGGAAAGCTCAGCCAGATGTGGCATTAGAGTTTCTTCGCCAACTACACCGTGTATTGCCACGAGACAGAACACACTGGCTTTACGGACACTGCTCTCTACGTGATCATAGCACTGGAATGAGACGAAATACAGAACTACGTCAGAAACAAATTGGCAAAAACCCAAAGTAACTCACACAAAATACATTGTATATATGAACTTCATATATACATTGTATCTGATTTATCATCACGGCTTTATTACGAATCAACTTAACGGCCTGTTCCCAGTTGGCTTGTTAGCTCAATTGGTAGAGCGCTGTACTGGTATCGCAGAGGTCAGTGGTTCGAATCCCGTACAGGCCTGATTTTTTTCTGGTCTGATTTTCGCTATTGCATAAATAGCGCTCTCTACTGCGAGGACCGTGCATCATCCGTACAAAATACATTGTTAGAGTGATGTATGTCTTCCAAGTTTACGTCAGTTGAGTTAAACGAAGTATTCATTATGCATTATTTTCAAACCAAACTTTTCATATGTGTAGAGATGAACCATAAACACATGGAAGATTGATAAGAACTGGTGTAAAAAATGGGCTACTTTGCACAATATTTTGTACGTTTAGCTTATTCAAGCGCATACTTGTTTCTATTCTTTTGAAATTTTTACTTTCATTCTCAAAATACCACCGCAAACTGTAGTTTTTCATGTAAATCGCCTTCGTTTTTTGTCGCTACAGTGTTCCTCGTTGGACAGCGTTTTTTAAGACCTTCAATGCATCGTAATTCAATGTGCATGGTTGATTATTAATTTTAGCATAAACAATGTTTTTGAATACTTACCCTGACTAGCCCTGGTACGATCTCTCCCAAGTTCTCCTCGATCGTTTCGCCATCAATGTCCTCGACCACCTACAAAGGAAACGTCACGAAATATGAAACGAAAATTCATAAAAATGTGCACATTCTCCGCATCGTTCTCTTTACATTTCCTATGGTGCGGACAAGGAGAATTTGTTGAACAATCAGGAGCTTCTTGAATTGGTGAGCATTTTCTTTATTCTCATGACCTTTGTATTTGATACAAGGGTGATACCGTCATTAGAAATTAGAAGCCAGTCACACTATTTCTCGGCCGTAATATCAATGTGTAACGACGTTATGACAAAATCAGTTCTTCAATATTGTACGAAATGTTTTGAAGGATATCTGGAGTTTGGGCACCATACAAATATGAAGCATGAAAGAAGTTGCATATTTCAAACCTTCCATCATATCGCAATTTCTTGAATTTATTCAAGGACGATAAACGTACCTTGATGGTCATTTTCAGGGCGGCAAGGTTGACGGGAAACTCAGCTTCCCGAAGGACTGGTGACAAAGCTTGAAGACACACTTCCGGCGGAAGACTCTTGGCGATCGTCCCGGCAGCCTCCTCGGCCACTCGAGCAACCTGGAACAGAGGACGACAAAAACGTGTTAGGAAATAATAAATTAATAATTAAATAAATAGCCACTACTAATAATAATAAGAGCGATAATATTAAAAATTATAATTCAAATGATCACCTCTTTTTGTGCATCTTTGTGAGCGTTCAGAACTGTCTCCACCATTTTGTTAATCTGTTTGTTGAAGGCCTGGGGTTTAGTTCGAACCATGTCTCTCAGGACGCGAAGAGACAGCAGTCGAACGGCGGGCTACGCACAGAAAAATATCTAATTCAGTATACTACCATAAATGCTTTGATAAGGAACACTGAGAAAAATGGCGCTTATCAATGGAATTACCTCATCGTCTCCCATATTCTTCATGAGCAAAGACAACAAAGTGTTGTGGTTTTCCTCCCACAACACAGGAGTGTCCTCTCGGGCCATCCTCAGCAACTCTCCTAGCGCCTCTTTCTTGTCCTCGGACTGCATACCTGACGGTGCCCCCACGGGGACCATGATAGGGGAGAGTGCATCTGCGTGTTCTAGAGACACATCTAAAGGGTTGGAAAAGCGATTAGATGTTTTGTTCAAATCACAGAGCGAAGTAAAGGAAAACCACTACTCTCGCAACGCTTCTCTCAATCTGGGATTAATTAATGGCTACCGGCGAGCTGTTGAGGATAAAATCCTCAGGGAGGGGTATGGGGCGGGGGGAAGGGGAACGCTAGAGTTGTATTGACAACTCATCCAGGGTTGGGGAAAGTAGCAATACTCAGAGCCACTTCGAGCACCGGAACCCAGTGTATTTTCCGACTAAATGGGGCTCCAGGCTCGTAAACTGATTCTACTCTATAAAACTAAATTTCTTTGCAGTCTTAAAAGAATCGAACGCACGTTCACTTTGGCTAACACTGCACAGACAATTAACAACTTTTCACCTTTATCAAACTGGTCATCACTGTGTTCCATTCCTTCTATTGACCGATCCAGCTCGTCCTCCACTTCACCATTCTTCTTCCGGCCAGCGGTAATAAACCCGTTTATTTCAGGAACCTGAGAACGAATCACAACAGAAACATTAAGGATGAGAAGACAAGTCGCTGCGAAAAGGCTAAGAACCAAACGCATTTCTAACAACGCGTTCGCAAATTCAACCCCTCTTGTAAAACTTGCGAAGTCAGTGGACAAAATGGAATATGACAAGAAGAAATGCACAAAGATTTTTTTACTCACTGGATGAAAGTCATTCTGCTGGTCTTGGTACTGTCTCGGGTCATATTTTTGTCCCGCGGATCCACTCGAGCTTGGCGGGCCAGTCGCAGAAGTTTGTGCAGTGTTTTCCACGTTCCCAGATGTGACATCGTCACTGTGGTACCCGGATGAGACACTCGGGGCGTCTTCTGGTGGATGAGAAGAGCCTTCCCCACGGTGAGGGGGTAGGGGCGAAGCGAACCTTCCGTCAAGAGACTCACTGGAACTAATCGCCTCAGCCTCGAAGCTGTTGTCTCTTTTAACCGAATTACCATTCGTCCGCGGTGAGAGACCAAACCTCGTCTGACCGCCTCGAGGGCTTTGAGCTGTTTTCGTCGGTGTTGGTATCTTCGTGTGATGTTCGGGCGAGCTCAGGTTTTCGTCCTTTCCGGGAGAGACTCCTTTCATGGAGGACGAGGACAGTGTTCTGTAACCCAGTCTCAGTCGTGGCCGCTCGTTTTCTACGTCATCAAAATTAGAGCCAGCAGACGACGGTGATCCACGGCCAGCAGCAAATGGCTGTAGGAAAAAAAAGTAATACGCATTCGCATCGACTGTCATAAAATGAGAACTAACCAAATGTTACACTGCAGCGTGTTAGTACTTGTTAAGTTACACCGCTGACCTCATTGCTCTGTGTACTACTCTTCAAATGGTTATGGAGTAGCTTCGTTGCGCCATCCTGTAAAAATAAACAATATTTCTTTGTTTAATTTACCAACTACGCGCACTGACAGTGAGGCAAGGTGCAGACGTTTTTGTCATCAAATCAAGTAGGAAAATTTCGGCAAATCCAAGACCGCAAAATGACATATTTTAAAGAGTTTAAGTTAAAGCCCTGATATGCATTTGCCCTCATAATCAAAATGTTGTAAAAGAATTGATAGTTTTTCATCTCATTACCTGGAATGACTTTGGTAAAACGGTAAGCATCATGCTGAACTCTGGAGTGTTCAGTTCAAAGAGGACTACAATAACAGCCGCTGATTCCTGCAAATAAAATAGAGGATCGAAGTAAAACACCATGGTGTGGAATTGACCAAAGTTTACAAGCAGTCTAAACCCTGCAACTTATGGTACACCATAGCAAGCTTTACCTTTCTCACGTCTGCGCTCTTCGGTTCCGTGGTCCAAGTGATTATACGAGAGACCGCCAAACGTGTTTCTACGTCACGTTAAGGTCAAAATAAGCGCACAACCTATTTTGACTATCTGAGCGTATTTTCCGCTCTATGGGACACTTTATTCCTCTCTGGTATGCTTTGAAACTCCCCTTCCAACAAAATTCCCTCATAAAAAGTAAATATGTAAAGATCTATAAACGTACAAAATTGTAACCAAATTTACTGCCTCCTAATACTCGACATTTTTCGGGGGAAGGGGGGATCTCATGGAAGTAAGGGGGAGGGGGAAGGAATCTATAAAATTATACTTGTCATGTCCAGTGGCGAAAGGTACCCCTAAACGCCTTAGTCAGAGTTGCTCGTCTAGAGAGACTTCCAAGAGCGAGTGTCGGTTCGACTTAGACAGTGAAACAGAAATGCCACAACAAAGGAGCCGCGCAAAAGCTGCCCGTTTAATAAAAATATCAAAAAACGGCAGGAATCGAAACCAACCAATCACAGCTCTGCTTTAGGTATCACGTGACCAGTCAACCTCATCTCCCGAAGAAATCGAACAGTCTTTATCTAAAAAGTCGCGATCCACGTCGGAGGGGAGGAAAAGGAAGGGAAGGAAACAATTTGTCGTTACTGAGTTTAAAATGTTGAAAGGATACCACCAGAGTTGGTGAAGTCGCTTGGATCCATCAGGCCAATAAGTCCTTGTAAATATTGCAAAATGGCTATTTTCACCTAAAACACAAAGTAACAATGTTAAAAGAAAGCAGATTCAAATGAAATACGAAGGCCAAAAAAGTAAAACAAATTTGTGAATATAAATACCTTGAGGTTTGGCGTCTGAGTTTGATCGGTGATGAATCTTGTTAAAATACTAAACTGAAGATCATATGGAAAGGAATCCCTAAGATAAAAAAAAAATCAAAACTGTATTAGCAACAGTAACAGATCTGAGTGAAGCGCGCTTTGATTTGAAATCGCAAGGATTTTTTCTCCTCTCATATTAAGGTTTTTATCATAATTTCGTAAATATTTTTAGTGATTTCAAATAAAATATTATATTAATTATTATAGTTATATTACTATTATTATTCTTACTATCAAAAAATGACTAATTGTTTTGTAGAATTTTAGAAACAAAACTAGTTTTTAGTTATTAACAAGACAGTTTTCTAGGGTACTTATTCAATTTCCAAGATCTACCCTAAGAAGTTGATTTTCCCGATGTAATTTTTCTAGTTTTCATTGGAAAATAAAGATTACTCCTTTGGTAAAAAATTGAGTTCTGGAGACAAAAGCTGCACTTTTTTTGTCTTTCACTTTCCGGCCGTCTGATTAGTAGCGCTTAAAACAAGCCCTGATGTCTGATTGGTTGTTTTGTTTAGTGTTTATTTCGAGAAAAAAGTATCGAGATTTGTGAAGCAATCACATCACTAAGAGCCAAACAGATCGCACTGATCATCAGTTATTGCAAAATGGATCTTCGATCCATGAAATTGTAGAGCTTAAAGTCAAAATGCACGTTCTAAACACGAACAAAACTCCAAGAAATATTCCACTTGAGCCCTACCTAATCACATCCAGCACTCTGACCACTTTAGACTGTAAAGAACTCAACAGGTCTGTACCAAGTTTAGTAAGAAGGCGTGATAACAGAACAAACAGCCAGTCATGAAGATCGACTTTGTTAACGACTATAAAGTCACACAACGCGTCCAGAAACAAACTGTACACCTGCAGGAAAATCAAGCAGTTTTAGCAAAATCAATAAAGGAGATTTTTCAAGAAGAAAAAAAATAGTACAAAGGTCAAATGCAAATCGCAAAATGAGCCAATAACAACGCAAAGCTATAGTACACGCGACATGCAAGACGCACGCGACCAAGAAGTGTAACCAGTCAAAGTGAACGTTACAATTGCACGCGATCAAGTCGTGGACACGTACAACACATGTGTTGGTCTAGCATATGTTCTTTTTTAACAAATCATACCGACCATCAAGAGAAGAAAATTAGTTTACCTTATTATGTGGATCGAAAAATAATCTTGTGAGGCAGTCCTTTATACGTCCAAGTTCTATTTGACTGATGAGAAAGTAACACAAATTTAAAACACATTTAAAACCTAATATGATAAAGTTTTAACAAAAAAGTGAATCAAAAAATAATGAGATGAAAATAGAAAAAAATAATAAGCGGTAACAAACCTGAGAACCCCAGAGTTCAGAAGGAAACCTTGCAGACAAATGACACCATCCCGTCTGTCAGACCATTCGTTACTGCTGGTCAAGCGAACTATTTCAGCAACCTCCTGGAAAGCAAACACAAAAACACATTGTAAGTCAGGGGGGAGCAGCTACGCCAGCTATACATGACGCTGCATTAGTTAAACATACCACCGAAAAGAAATTTTTGACCGAGGACAGCGCGGGAAATACGAACCCGAGAAATGTGCGGAGACATGAACTCGGCTCGAAGCGCGTTAAATACCCATCTGGTCATAATCGTGGAAAATCACTAGGCCGTACTAGCGTACAAGTATTGCAAATTCAAATATCGAATATCGTATTGTTCACAACGAAAATTCCACCCCGAAAGAGAATAAGGTTGAACGTTTTGCTGATGAAACGCTGAAAATTCAACAAACAAAACTATACAATCACAAACAAATTTATCGATGGGGAAAACTAATTGAGAAAGCCTGAGACCGACTTTTCTTGACTTTTCTCGCGCACGCTGCGTCATAAACTGTAACTGTGACGTCAAATGATCACTTCGCTCTGTTTCTCGGATCGAAACTGTGCAGGTTTTTTCCGTGAGAGGAAAACCGTGCTGTAACAATGAAGATTGTGATTTTGACCGTTGCGTTGGCAACTTTGCTTCAATTAACGGCGGTTACACAGGCTTCAAAACAAGAAGGTAAGATACAGCTCTGTTTCGCAACTACTTCAAAGGTGTTACTTTTCTACCGCCCGCAAAAAGTTGCACCAGAAAAAGTATGAAAACGTTTTCACTTTGAAGGCAAACAATTCACTTTTCCCTTCAATGCAAGGGCTTACTAAGTTAACATCTGCTAAAAACAGGAGTATTAGACATGGAAATCTATTAAAGGAAAGCTTTACCGACGGGGCATTTCAAAACCTTTTCACACTTTATCGGAAGGGTAAACAAGTTTGTGGTTGCCATGGTTGCACCCGCTGAGCTGTGCGCCTTTGACCAGCGCGTGCACCCCATGCGCGCGTGCACCCCATGCGCGCGTGCACCCCATGCGCGCGTGCACCCCATGCGCTCGTGCGTTAATCAGGGTATATTTTTGAAGGGCGCACAACAACGGTCACTTCTCACTTACTCTTAAAATCAACGGCATATTCAGCTGAAACATTTTTGTTAAATATCAACAGGAGACAAAATTCTTAAAAAAAATGATGATGATGATTTCTTTGTTCTCTCTTTTTCCCTAGATAACTTTCAAGCCACTGAATGGCAAAAACTCCCTTTCGAAGATTTTAAAGAAGAAACCTCCGTGATCGGAACTCGGAACGAAAAGGTTGGTTTTTTTTTTCAGAACAAGGCTGACAAACATCATTCGGTCGTTAATCGCGGATAATCAAAGTTACTTAAATAGGATGTCTTTCACGAGAATATGCATAACAAAAAAAGAGGAAATAGATGGTATGAAAGTTAACGAATTTTCCCTTCCTTTTGTCAAATAGGAATATGTGATAAGGATTCAAATGTTGTCCCTGGACCTGGATATGAAACTTGTTTTTCCCAGCAAAAAAGGCTCTAAAGATTTGAGCGGTTCTATCTTTAGGAACGATCCACCGAACCTCGGAAAGGTAATCAAGTCACGTTTGATAGCCTGTAAGATTGCTAGTGTAGTTGAACAAAAGATTTCAACTAACTCGTCGCATACTCTTTTCTTTCCCTCTCTCTCTCTCTTATTTGTATCTGTTAGATTCTCAAGTGCAAAGACCTACCGGAATATCCTGGGAACACGACATGTTCTGAGCACCACGTATTCAAACGGAAAGAACCCGGACTGATCTCTCAAGTGAAGACGATGATGAAAAACATGTGGAGTTTTATGGTAACAACATTGGTCAAAGGTTGGAAGACCTGCTCTAACGGCGTTGGCACAACGGTTAAGAACATTTGGAACGGAAGGAAATGGATGAAGGATTTGGCCGGTAAAATTTGGACAAGATTGCTGGATTGGGTTTGTGGAGTGAAGAATGGATTGATGTATAGGGTCGGTAAAGTTTGGAACGGATTGAAAGGGTTGGCGGAATGGGTGTTTATAAGGATGATGTGGGTAGATGAATATGTGTACCACGGAAGCCTGTGGGCGGCCGAGTGGTACTGGGACCATACCGAATGGTTGACAGAGCTGACTTGGAACGGAATGGAATGGATCTGGGATCATATTGAATGGTTGGCCCGCTTCTTAAAGGAAAATCCTTTATGGTTAGCTGAGAAAACATGGATTGGATTAAAACGGTGGGCCGAGTGGACATGGGGGGAAGCGAAACGGTTCGCGGACTTGTCATGGAATGTGATTAAAAAGAAATGTAAACCACTTGAACCTGCGCTCGAATACGTTTTGGAGATGGTTCAAATCATCATCAACTTTTACAATGAATATGTTCATGGTGAGTAGACATAACACTGACACACACTGCTAAGAACACTGTGATTATATGTGATTAGGAAGGAAGGATATAACCAAGCGGAAATTGATCATCTATTTCAGTCTTTAGTTTTACCTAAAATTTCGTATGATTTACCGGTGTATGCAGCCTCTGTGCCTGAACTTAATACTGTACAGCGGTTCCCTCATAGATGTCATAAACGCAGTTTTATATCCTATGCTATAGATATTTAGTATAATTTCAGAGCTGAACAAAGAGTTTCCAGCAATCTGATTGGTCGAGCGGTTCCTTATATGACGCTATATAAACCGCCCCGCGCGGTTTATATAAAACGTTAGACTAAAATGTTAATAAATGTTACTAAAATGTTATGATTTAGAAATTTCTCTGTTGTTCAGCTCTGAAATTATACTAAAACATTTATTCGCCTCAGGTTCGGTGAATATTGTCGAATAATCCCCTCGACTTCGTCTCGGGGATTATTCGACGATATTCACCTCGCCTTCGGCGAATAATTGTTAAATATGATTTGCTTGAGAAAACAGATAGGTCAGTCTCAAAGAGGATTAGTTGCCTGCCTACTCCTCCGCTGTACAATTTGTTGCCCAAAGTTAAAGAATCTTCCAAACGTTTGAGAACTCAAACAAGCCTACTACCTCGTGTCACCACAGAACGTTTCAAAGCTAATTATATTTATAGACTGTATATTAAATATGCTTCCGTTTTTTAACTTTTTAATTAATAATTTAAAAATGTAAATATAGGTATGTATTTTTACTTGTATATTCAATAAAGACTTGAAGACTTAAAGTATTACCCTCCACACACCCCCCCCTAAAAAGGATTCTTCCCTAGTCCGCAAGATTGGGCTGAATCAAGTTTTAATTATTTTTTGTTTGTTTTTCCAACAGAACATTTGTTAAAAATTCAAGTCAAAATTATAGTCTCGAGCTGGCGTGAAACTGGGTATACGATCTCAGCCGTACTGGTGATGAACTGTGTGATGGTGGCTGTTTACAAGTTGATTTCGTCGCCTGTGAAGTTGTTCAGGCGAAGATGGTGAGTAGAGGAAAGAAAACATCAAAAAATACATTTGGCTTAAATATTAAAACCAAATGGACGTTTTCAAGTCGACTTCTGACAAACTTCTACCGTACTTTACTTTCATCTGAAAATTTCAAGGAAGCGTTTTCAATAAAGAACAACAAAAAAGTACTACTCATCCGTTGTTTTCAAGTTTTACTACGACTAAAAAAACAGCTGCAGTCACTTGCGACCGATCTTTCAGTTGACTTGTGCTCTCTCTCCAAACAGACCTTCACTAAACTCCTTGCTGCAATTTCTCCTTCCAGGCAAGCTTACAAAGATTGGAAAAAGGCCGAGGAAGCTTCCTGGAGACTACCACCAAGACGTCAGTCTCGATCAAACAAACGAGTCTGGGAAAATCCCAAGAAGAAAAAGCTTTACAGGAATGAAAATTGAAAGAGTCCGAATTTGGCTTTCTTTCTTTCTTTCTTTTTCTTTTTGTTTTGTTTTTGTTGTAATAATATTAACTATTTTGAACAGATTTTCTATGGAAACAAGTTATTATTGGTTTAAAAGCATTAAATGAAACTTGCAAGGTTTGTGCGAATGTTTCATATCTCAGTGAATGTTTCTTCTATAACCTTGTTTGCTATTTCCTTCTTTCTGTCTTTCCAAGATTTTCAAATCAGTGGTCAAGTCATTTTCTTTCTAACAAATAGAATCCATGTTGCCGAGCCTGTGTTCAGCAAAGATCACAGTTGACATAAAAATGTGATAAGGACCCAAAAGTGGCACACAAGGCGTAACAGAGTGTGCGACTGATGTTCGGGTAGCCTCTCGGGACACAGAATTCACCTTGGCCGCTAACGGAGTCAGCCATTAAATAAGTGTATTGAAAAAACGGCACATTCACAACTTTTGATAATGACCTCCGCGTCGCCTCAATTGTAAAACTAGGTTTTCAGTGAAGAAAATTAGCAAGATTACTTTTGTATATCTAACATCAAAAGATAACAATCAGAAGAATGGCTTAGACGAGTTAATTGTTAATGTGTTTTGGTTTCCCACTGCTAAAGTTGGGCCACTAGCCTTACATATTACACCTCACAGCGCCTTTATAAGTGAACAATAAAAACACTGCATAACAAGTAAGAAACCAAGCTGAGGGATCAGTGTTTGGGGGGAAAAAAAGTGAGGCTTCCGAAATAGCCATAGATGACAATCATTGTGTTTAAACCCCTGATATCCAGCTGTTTTTTTAGCTGCCCTTTTGGTGCAAGGAAAAAAAAATCGGGAAGTACAAAAGCTTTAGCTATTCTGTGATGAGACAAAATTTACTAACAAGGAAAAAAGTTTGAAGTCTAAAAATGTTTACACAACATCCAGCATTAATGATTTTTGTAATTCAGGGAAACTTGAGCATAAAGGAATATGAAATGTAATGAAAATTGACTACGCGGAAAAATAAACATTGTGTGCGTGCCTGGAGCTTAAAACCATATTTCCTAAATTTCGAACACGATTTCGCTCAATTTTTTTTCTTTCATCCTTTTTTATGTTCGCGAAGTAATAGCGTGTGAATTTTATTCACGAGAAACTTGATTTTGTCTATTTAAAAACGTAAACATCGATAAAACAATAAATGTCATAAAGGCCATTGAAGAGGAAAGGAATATATTTACATAAATTCCATATTAAGCATCAACTAAAAAACAGAGTAACTGTTCCTCGGGGAAAATGTTGGGGTTCTGAAAAATCAAAGGGAACATGAGCAGAGATTTAACAAGAAAAACTTTAAAATGACCTGAGCTGAGCTGAGTACAATTCTTGAATTTTCTTGGAATGAGATTGAAGTAAAAGCAATCTTGCAACTTAAATAAGCCTTTAGGAAAATAACTTTCCCATTCGCTAGTTGCAGCGCATAATGAAAAAAAAAAGAGTTTATTCTCATGAATTGTTGAAAAAACAGCCACCTTTTATTGTAGTTATGCTGAAGGTGAATTACAACATTGCAATCGGATGGTGAATGCAGCCACCTCGATTGTCGCAATAACAAAATATTAACGACATCGAAAGTTCCGGACTCGTCTAGCTTCCGCTCGCGTGCACATTCAATTTTCATCGCTTATACCTTTAGAGAATGATTAAAATAAACTGCGGTATTCATAACATTACAACCGACTGCAACGCTGCGTTTTAAAAATCAAGCTGGACCGAATTTGAGATAAAAACGGAATAAATCTGATGGGAGATCGAAAGACCACAGCTCAATGCCCTAATTTAAATGTTCCTCGTAACGTTTTTACCAAAAACACGACAGCATGCTATATATTAGTACAGCTAATCAAGTAGGTCGCAAAAATCAAATATAACATCAAACTTCTCGACATGATCAAAACACAATTCCAAAACAAAACAAGTTACACAGTTTACCTGTCGAAATAAGGTAACATGACTTGGGCGAATGTAGATGAACATCCCTTTTCTAAGAAGGAATTTAAACCAAAGCCATTCTTCTCTAGGATTCCCGGGAAAAACAGTACGAACAACGTAGCGTCTGTAAACGACTACTTCGATTCGTAACCGACGACATGAACAAGTTCTGTGCTTTGTCTTTATTCGCCGCATGTTGATAGCAGCTTTGGTTAGATCGCGGTCGTAACCTTACATGTATCCATACTGTCTTTAGTACTTGATGCTTCTCCTTTTTGAAGCCGCATTACGCGTAAACGTAATGGTAACTCTTTATCTTCTGCTTTGGTTACTAATATGGTAAATTTCGCGCAGCCTGTCAAACATATTCACGCATTTTCTTTCACATGCCCGCCTCGTCTTTCAGGAACCAGTCAAGAGAGATAATTATGCGTAATTCATGAGCTTTCTTTCCATCTATCCATCGCATTAACATAAAAACTCGCATAACCAATTGTCTTGCAATCGCTTTGTATTTTCGAGGCAAAGAGAGGTTCGCGAAGTGGTCCAAAAGGTAACTTAACACTTCATATACAAATTCTGAAAATGTTGATAAAGTAGTGCTTGGTTGTATATGTTTACAGTAGTAAAGAAATTGGGAAAAAACTTGCTTCTGGTCAAACGACATCAGTGACATAAAGATTATGAATAATTGATGAGAACGGCTGAAAATAGAGGAAAAAAACCTCAAAACAGCAGTTTAGAGCGCTTTCCTTTCGTTCTGTACATAAACACACCATCTCGACGTCTTTGAAGGTCATTGAACGAATTCAAGATGATAAAATTAACTTAGATCTATTCGCTTTCCGTTGTAGTTCGTGAAGCAAGAAATGCTTGTCCAAAATAAACGACAGGTACCATTTACAAAACAGAACTGGTTTAATTACTAAAAAATCTTTAGTTCTGTCCTGCTGAGGTTTGTGTATCTCTAAAATTTAATTTTTTGTCACGCTTGGAAATCGGTCATCAATGAATTCAATAAATTGTCTCGCTTCGTACATGGCACTGGATCGGAAAATGTGAAAACTAAGTAAGATTATTCGAGATTTTACTTGATCAAAGCTCAATATCAATGCCGTGACCCGAAGCTCTTCGCTCGAATAGTCACGCATTCCGCGCGCACGAGAAAAGCAGTCGTTAAAAAAAATTTTGAGATCACAAGTACACCGGCGTTTTAGACAAAGTATGGTGTTTACGAAAGTATTCTGGGGGTTATCCAATGAGTAATTACCACAGATAAAATCAACGTAAACACTCTAGTGACTTTTGAAGAGATAAAAAGCTACACGTTAATCATCTGTCAGATTTACCCATAAGAATTTAATTAGGCCCTCTAGGGAAACACGATCGCTGGATTATTAATGGTGACGTCACACACAAGCGGCCAGGTTGCTAAGCAAAATTCAAAATGGCAGCGTCCGTAAACGAATATTAAGCACATCCGAAAGGTTAGGTTACTTTTTGTGACCTGCAAGTGCGTTCGGAGTAACGATTTCATAGAGACTTTAAAAGGCAGAGACAAATTTAGGTTTCTGGAACATACCTCTCCTTTCAATTATGAATTTCAATCAACTTACGTTTCCAGGTTCCAAGTGTTTTGGGTGATTCCGTGAGCCTCTAGATCCATAGGATCTCTCAGATGATATGCTGGCCACGTCACTATCGTCGTCATCAGAACATTGAGAACCAAACGAGTACTTTCTTCTGGATGGGCTTTTATGCTGAAAGAAAAATCAAACGGAAATAAAAATTGGTGCTCCAAAGGTAGTGACAGAGTGTGCTTGAGTTCTTCCTTTTGCTTAGAGGAATCTCCTTCCCAGAGGGCACCCTGGGAACAAAAGAAAATGTCCCTTTAACAATATCATTCGCTCTGACGAAGGGCTAATGCTCGAAGCGTCAGCTTTTTAATTTTTTACTGTGGCCAATTTACAATTTCAACTTAGTTGATATAACCAAATTATCTTGTTACCCCCACCGACGCAGCACCACGGTATCTTTAGAAACTTACCCCATTCTACGATAGTTTTCAAGCAGTCCCTCATTAATAACTGTTGCAGGACGAGCCAGCAAGAGGACTGGAGAAGAGTCGCGGAGAGGTTTGAAGGGCGTCTAGCACTGATAACAGAATGCTGATAACATATCTCTCACCGGGCTCGTGTTGCTCAAAACTTTCCCGCGGCTGAAGAAACACTCGTCCCGAAGCGCTTAATGAGGTTATAAGGGCATATTTCGGCTGGGTTCAAAGTTTACGTCTCTAGAAAGGAAAAAATCTCCCTGAAGAAAGGTTTCACCGTATGAAAAAGGAAAAACAACAGCTTTCCCAAGGATAGATAGAGTTCATTATTAAAAAAAATAACGTAAAAAAATTTTTGTGTCGAGAGAAAAATTAGCAACGCTTAAAAAGATATTGTAAGAGAGACTTACCCAAGCGTTCCAAACCGCCTCTTCAGTGACACCTTTACTCGTGGGCTCGCCTTGACTTGACTGTTTCACCATTGGCGGATCTATAAGGGTAAGGAAAGAGGGCATCATTTGAATAGCCAGGCAAAAACGCGGTAGTTGCAGCTAAAGTTCTTGTACTAGTGATGCGATAACGGAAAAAAGAAAGGCAAAACTGAAATCCCCTTTCCACCGTTCATCAACTCCATGCAACCTTAGAAGCAGCGAGCGCAGATAGTTGTTTTTTGAGGGGGAAAGGAGGGAATAGGAAAAATAATTCGGAACATTTGCTTCTTATTTTTTCAGCGCGATAGAGTTTACTTCCAACATTCGCTCAAAAACCCCCAGTCACACAGGCCATCTTCTAACTCATTATCTCTCTTTCTCTTTAGCCTCTTCAGACATTCTCGACATTGCTGATTCTTGGGGGCAAGTTTCTAAAGAAACTGCCGTGCTGCGTTGGTGGAGGGTAGTTCGAGATAATTTAGTTTTATCAAATGAGATTATAATGTAAATTGGCGATCGAAGAACGTTTTAAAAGCTGACGTTTCGAGCGTTAGCCCTTTGTCAGAGCGATTGTGGTTGAGTAGGTCTTTCCTTCAAGCACAGACTTTTATCTTTCTTCTTTTGTGCGATCTGTTCAAGTTTTCTCCATTATTCGCCATCCTGGTTCCTGCTCGATTTATTA